TCTTCCTTCCCTCTTTTTTCCTTCCTCTTCTCCTCACCGTATCTCCCTCCTTCCTTCCTTCCTTCCTCTCCCTCTTTCTCTCTCCCTTCATCTCTGTCCTTCCTACCCCCTCCGTCCATCTTTAATAAGAGTTATAAGGTCTTATCTTTAATTCACAATTAATTTGTAATAAGCAGATCATCAGGGATCACTGTTATCTGGACAATAATTATAGACCGGATTTGGACTAATAAATTTAATGCGGTACAAAACAACGGTATTATTTACGATAATATAATCTGATCCCTTTCTAGTGTTTATTGCTTTTGGTCCAGCAACAGAAAAAAAATATTAGGGCTGTATTAAAACAAACATCATAAAATAGATTAAAAAATTGTAGGACTGTAATCATTACCACAAAACCTTCCAGTATTGCAATAGAAAACTCTAACAGAATCCTCGAAAAATACTTTCCACTGAAGTCAAAGTCGGTGCCAAATTGCTCTTGTAGGAAGGCCTTGCATAACACATGATATTAAGCTCTTCATAGCACAGACAAAGATAATCGGTAAAAAGATTGAGGAGATGAGCACAGGAAACTACGCTACCATATCAATAGAGAATTGAACAACACAATACTCTCTCATTATACAACGAAATTTGAAAAGAATAGAGACTTTACTCATTAAACCAGAAATACCCACAGCAACATTTGGAATGGAGGTAATATAAATTACAACTCAGCATCAAAATATTGTAATACTCTAAGTCACAGGACGAATTAATTATTATAATTATTACATTATCTCAGCTCATGATTACCATATTTCAACTAGGTATAAAATTCATACAAATTTTGGGTCAAACTGAACATTTGCTTATGGTGACATGACATTTACGAATCATATCTTAATGTCTATTGAGATCAGGAACAATAAAATAACAATAACAATAAATGACAATAAAAATGGCAAAACCAAAGGATATACAATCAATTGGGAATTTCTTGGGCATTTCTTACATTTCTTGGTAAAATTACTGACTTTTTTGCAGCTGATTAACCTGGAAGAGAGGGCAGTTATAACTCCCAGTGCCGTTTGACTTTAGAACAGAATCTGCGATATCCAACCCCTAAAGTTTTTTGGCGATATCTACCCATATAGTTTGCTTAGACTTAACTAAAGCATTTGGTGTAGTTAACCATTCAGGTTTCTTGATCCCTACGGAATTGGGAAGGAAGAAAATTCACGGTTCATATCACGCTTAGAAAACAATGAGCAACACATTCCTTAGGATTAAGTAAAATCTACTTACAGTTAAGTGAATAATACTTTCTTTTTTAATAAACCATTTTTACAATTGAATAAATGCTACTTACAATTAAGTAAACCATTTTTACAATCAAATAAATTCTACACACAAATAAATAAAACCGAAATGGTGCATCCTCTCTCACATGGTTCCTCAGGAGTCAATTTTCAACCATTATCATTTTAATTATGAATCAGTGACATAAGTACCTACAGCATCTTCCCCACATTCATTTGCAGATGGTTATAGTCACTACGCTTCAGGACTAATTGTTTTTTTCTAATGAATATAAACACTTACATAAACTGCAGTAATTTGAACCTTTAAAACATTAAACAGGGATTTTTTTTAATTTAATATAAAACAAGCCAGTATTTGCTGCATCAGATGCATCAAAGAAAGTTCAGAATCGGGGATTATGAACATTAATATGTATGTATATTTCATCAATAATTAATTTAGACATTAATTAACTAAACTGCACCCAACCATTACAATGTGCATAATATTTTCTGATGATCAAATTGTAAATCATATCGTAGCAATCTGAATGTTAATCTTATGTTAAACTTAATAGTGTAAATCACCTTAATAAGAATTATTTTATAAGGATTAACTTTATGCACCCTGAGGTCTTTGACTCTCAGTGGGCTTATGCAGTTAATTATAAGGCCGTGTGTAGTGCAGTCCAGCCTATAAATTATTTGAGTGGATCTGAATTTAAACTAACTAATCCCCCCCCCTCTTTCATCTCTCCTCTCTCTTTCTCCTTCCTTTCTCTCTCCCTCTTCTCTCATTTTTTCTCTCTTTTTCTTTTCATTCCCTCTCTTTTACTTAGTCCTTCGCTTTCCACTACCTCTTTTTCTTTCCTTCCCTCTCCCCTTCTTCCTTTCTTCCCTCCCTCCTTCCCTCCTTCTCTTCCCCCTTCCTCCCTCCTTCTCTTCCCCCTTCCTCCCTCCTTTCTCCCTCCTTCTCTTCCCCCTTCCTCCCTCTTTCTCTTCCCCCTTTCTCCCTCCCTCCTTCCGTAACTTATTCTCCTCGTCTCTCCCTCCCTCCCTCCTTCCCTTTCCCTCCCTCCTTCCGCCCCTTATTCTCCTCACCCTCCCTCCCTCCTCCTTCTCTCCCACTCCTCTCCTCACCCTCCCTTTCCCTCCCCTCTCCCACCATCACCCCTTCTCCCTAGCTCCACACTTCCCCCTCTCCCTCCCTC